GAAGAACCCATTGTAAGGGAAGTATTTTCTGTGGCTTCCAAAAATTGTTGATGGCAAAAATGAAAATGTTTCATTTATGATGCACAGTGAGACCCCAAGATGCAGACATAATTGGTGCATCAAGAGTGGCCTGATGTCAGAATGTGCCCAAGTTGAGTCTCATTTTCCATTGGACTTCAATGTCAATTTATTTAATTGTTTTTTCCTTTTTTGAAAAATTGGGAATAAAACCTCAAAAATTCAATAAAAATTGTTTCCCTCAACTTCAAGTTGCATAAAACAGTGCATGACAGCCACTTAGAATCTGATCTTTTTGGCATCAAAAGGAGACCAAAAAGCAAAGAAAAATAATAAGTCTTGCTAGAATATGTACATATGATAGGAAAAAAACTCTGAAAAAGAAACACAAAATTGGCTTGCTTTTGACAATGAATTAGGAGTAAATTTATCATGAAAAAATGTTTTCAATCTTTTGTATATAAATTGCTTGATTTTTTCAAGAGGTATAAAAAATTTTTTAACAAATGTTTTGATTTTTTTGGAACATTTCAGGAAAGTGTCACTACCTCAATCCAATGTCTGGATTTTGGGCATGATTTATTGGGTCTCCAAGTGTCCTTAAGTCAAATTTTCCATATGTTGGGGTGTCTGCGTATCAGGGTCTCACTGTATTTGAAGTTGTAATTCTCATGGCAAAATATTTTGGAAAAATATCCCTGTATATTGCTACAGAAGGGTGTCAAAATGTTGCTTGCAATGCCAAGCAAATCTTTTAACTGAATGGAAACTCAGTGACCTTTGGTCAAACTGAAATGTCCCTCACCCAAAAAAAAATCTTGACTTTGCTGCTGGATGGCCAGGAAACCTCTGCTGTTTGAGGGTTAACAGAGTTTATGTGAATGCATGGGTGAATATTCCCAAATACTGTACAGCAAGAGTAATTTCCCCATAAATGATAAAGGGGTTTGATATCGCAATAAATGCAGACACTGTGTACATGAATCCCATTTTGTGGTGAGAAAGCACCACCACTATGCATGAAAACATTCAACCTTTTATAAATTTTACTTTACCACTTAATATTTTACTTACAATTTGCATGAATTGCACTCCAAGTGTATTATAAAGCACACTATAGGAGCATGTCTTTTTAAAAGCCCAGCTTCTCAATGCAAACTGTTTTGGGCAATTTTTGAAATTTCTGCAATGCTCAACCAAAATTTCTGCAAAACTCTCAATTTTTATAATTTATAAATGCACTTAGACAGA